TTCTATTTAAATTTCTTCAAATCATCAATTTCTAAATAGAGTAGAGAGTTGAGGGTGTTTGAAACAACACTGTATGATTATAAATACAATTGAACAACATGAATAATCATAAACCGCATATATAAAGACATGCAAATTTCTCTAGCTAGTTCCAAGTGATAGAAACACTGTAAACCGAACAATGCAAAAGAACTTCATAGCTGGACTTTGAATCCCGAGAGCTTTATCAATGAAAAATGATATTTTTTAATCAGTCTCAGTTCATAGGATGCATATGCTAAAGAACCTCGCCTGGTTAACTAGTTTACTAGTTACTAGCTGGTCCTAAGCCCGGGTAAAGAGGGAAGGTTGGGCATAGGGCTAGCAACCCTACCCCGTAAAACAAATCTAACCGCTAAAGAAACTTCAAAGCACAAACAAAATATAAAAAATGAAAACAAACTTATTCCCCGCTGGAGTCGGAGAGGCGAAATGACGCCAGTTGGTGAAAGCCTTCGGGAAGCCAATTGGCCGATGTGTCTTCTCTCCTCTCGATGAAAGCGAAAGTAAACGTGGGGACATGGAATGTCCCCACCATGTTTGAACCCAGTAAGGCAGCCCAGATTGCAAAGGAGATGAGAAGGTATAACATCGAAGTGCTTGGGATTTGCGAAAGCAGATGGAATGGGAGTGGACTCTCCAAACTGTCAACTGGAGAATCAATAATCTACTCCGGTCACCCAGACGACAACCACGAGCACACTGAGTTATGGAGTGGCTATCATGATGTCCTCAAGAGCATCGAAGGCTCTCATGCAGTGGGAACCAATCTCCTCCAGGATCATGACAGCAAGATTCAACTCAAAAGGAAGAAAGGTCACAATCATACAATGTTATGCACCTACAAATAATGCAGAGCAAGAGAAAAAGGAGGAATTCTACAGACAACTTCAATCAACACTGGACAAGACGTCAGTTGGCGACATCAAAATTCTAATGGGCGACATGAATGCCAAACTGGGAGGGGACAATACGGGAAGAGAACTAACCATGGGTCGAGAGGCGCTCGGTGAGGTGATGAATGAGAATGGAGAATTGTTTGCAGAATTCTGTGCATTCAACGATTTGGTGATTGGAGGCAGTGTGTTCAGGCACAAGGATATCCACAAAGCGACATGGACTTCACCAGATGCCAGGACACACTAAAAATCAAATCGAGTTCATCTCAATCTCAAGAAAATGGAGACGCAGTCACCTTACTTGACACAAGGTCAAGAAGAGGAGCAGATGTAGGTTCAGACCACTCACTGTCTAGTGCAAGGAACCTTCCAAATCAAGTTAAAAGCCTTCAAGGAAGCTGGTGATAGACCTCAATTCAAGTACAACACTCGGAAACTGAAGGATGAAACTACAAAGGAGATCTTCACTTCAGCCATCAAGACAAAATGGGAGACATCGAGACATCCCTGAAGAAACTTTTGTGGAAGAACACTGGAAGTCTTTGAAAGCTATGTGGAAAGAAACCTGCACAACAGTATTAGGAAGGAAGAAGGTGGAAGACAAGGAATGGATCTCGACGGATACCTGGAAGCTGATAGAGGAGAGGAGGATGGTGAAGCAGAAGATAAACCAGTGCAAGGATGCTCAACGACAAGAGGAACTGAGCACAATGTATAAAACACTGGATAAAGAAGTGAAGAAGAGTGCACGCAAAGACAAAAGACACTTCTACGAACACTGGCAAGTGAAGCAGAACAGGCTGCAGGTAAGAGAGACCTGACGACATTGTATCAAATAACCAGGTTGCTATCAGGGAAGAGACCAACACAGATGAAACCAATAAAAGATGAAGAAGGAAATTTAATTACAAAAGAAGAGAAACAGAGGAAACGATGGGCCGACCACTTCAAGAAGCTCTTGAATCGACCACCACCTGCACTTCGTCCACAAATACCACCTGCAGCCGCTGAATTACAAGTGAACATAAATCCCCCAACGAAAATGGAAGTCCTGAACGCCATAAAGCTACTGAAATGCGGGAAAGCAGCAGGACCAGATGGAATACCGCCAGAAGCACTGAGAACAGATGCAGAGACAACAGCGGACATGCTCCACACCACTATTGCAGAAGGTGTGGAAGGAAGAGAAGGTACCTGCCTGATTGGAAGAAGGGTTACCTTGTCAAACTGCCGAAGAAGGGAGACCTCAGTGCTTGCAAGAACTGGCGAGGAATCACTCTCCTATCCACCCCAAGTAAAATATTAAGCCGCATCATCCTGGAGAGGCTTAAAGACGCACTGGATTCAAAACTGCGACCGGAACAGGCAGGCTTCAGGAAGTACAAATCATGTGCTGACCAAATTGCAACGCTTCGTATCATCATAGAACAGAGCGTAGAATGGCAATCAGCTCTATACCTCAACTTCATCGACTTTGAGAAGGCCTTTGACAGCGTCGACCGAGAAGTAATTTGGAAACTGCTTCAATACTACGGAGTACCGCAAACCTTTATCCGCCTCATTCAACAACTATATGAAGATGCCACATGCCAGCCAAGTAATCCACAATGGGAAGCTCAGTGATGCCTTTGAAGTGAAGACAGGAGTGAAACAAGGTTGCCTACTATCCCCCATGATATTCCTGATTGTGGTGGACTGGATCATGCAGCAAACAGTAGGCAGCGAGAAGAGGGGGATACACTGGACGACGGAAAAGAACCTAGAAGACTTGGATTTCGCCGATGACTTGTGCCTAATGTCACATAAACTTGAAGATCTGCAGGCAAAAACTAACAAGTTGACAGAAGAGGCAGCGAAGACGGGACTTCAGGTGAATATAGAGAAGACAGAAGTGATGAAGATACCGCACCACCACCATCAACAACAAACTCCAATCACCGTCAACGGGAGAAACTTGAAGGAAGTAACCTCCTTCACTTATCTAGGAAGCACTGTTTCAACTACAGGCGGGACGGACGAGGACGTCAAAGTCAGAATCGGAAAAGCAAGACAGGCATTCATTAGCCTGAAACCAGTGTGGAGATCTTCTGCACTCAGCATGCGGAACAAGATACGGATTTTCAACACCAACGTCAAGTCAGTGCTCTTGTATGGCTCAGAGACTTGGCGCGTCACGAAAGGTATTTCCAATAAACTACAGACATTCATCAACAACTGCTTACGCTCGCTGCTGAAGATCAGATGGCCAGAAAAAATAAGCAACAAGGAACTCTGGGAACGAACCAACCAAGAACCTATCACGCAACAAATATGCAGGAAGAAGTGGAGATGGATTGGGCATGCACTGAGAAGGCCGACTGAGGACATCACGCGTCAGGCCAGTGCTCGAGTGGAATCCCCATGGGAAGCGACGAGTTGGACGTCCGAGGGTGACATGGAGGAGGTCGTGCGAGGAGGAAATGAGAGCTTCTGGGCTGTCGTGGAACCAGGTTCAAAAGATCTCAGAGAACAGAGGTCACTGGAGGCGTGCTACTGAAGCCCTATGTTCCACTAGGAACCCAAGGGACTAATAATAATAATAATAATATGCTAAAGAAGTGACTGAATATCGGACACAAATATTTGCAATATTCTAATGCTAAATCAAGATATAAAACAATGTGTTATTACTACTTCAATATAGAAATATGGAAAAAGAAATATTGCCAAAAATGTCTTCTAGTAAAACCGCTAACAGTAGGATATCCAGTGTTATACATAGTATTTGGAATTGATTGGTCGACTTCATCAGCCTTGAATTCCAATCTTCACTTATAACTTATTATTTCATAGACAATTTAAAGCCATGATGGGCAGTGGCTAGCAGTGGAATCCAGGATGCGCATTTCGTCCTATTTTGGGACTCGTCAGCTGGATGTACCTGCTTCCCAGTGAGTGATTTTGTTCCCACCGAGACTCGGACTCGGGAGACTGATCAATTCGGTCCAATCAATGACGGTGTAGTACAAGCAATAACACTAAACCTATACCCGTCGCACAAGAAGTGGCCATCGTGGCTCGGTGGTGTAGTGGATAACGCGCTGGCGTTTGAAGCAATCGCTCCCGAGTCCAAGTCCCGGTGGGAACAACATCACTTACTGGGAAGCAGGTACATCCAGCTGACGAGTCCAAAATAGGACGAAATGCGCATCGTCGATTCCACTGCTAGCCACTGCCCATCATTACTAAAAAACATAGTTAAAAGACAGGCAATATCGAGGCATCCGCATAGGAGCCCATATGTCAACAGAGACTGATCAATTCGGTCCAATCAACGACGGTGTAATACTAGCAATAACACTAAATATAAAGCCATATTACTTCGGTTTATATAGGTTATACTATTTTATTTAATGTATATATGATAATAATTTAGACGATAATTGGTCAATTTTCTGGTCCCCAATTCGTTCTGGTAGCGATATCAGCCATCACTAGTGTAAAACAAATTCTTGTGAACAATTACTACATAAATAAGTGGGATCACTTTTGATTCATCAATGCATTATCATGTTGTCAGAAAGTTTGATCAAGCGAAACGGCGTTCATAACAGTACTTAATAAAACAAAAATGACATAAAATTGATAAACAGAAGATATCTGATCAATTTCAAGATCATCCTTAGTGCAAGTTAACAAAATTCTAGTAGCTACAGGCACTGACAAAAAAAATGTTTTGCTTTACTTTGTGATCATTAGTTTGTTGTAATATTGATAGAACTTAACCCTACTATTGTAACTTCACCATATTGTGATACTGTATAACTCTTCACGATAATGAAATCACAACACATGAACTTTACGGCAAACATGGTAGGCTCTGTACTATTGAATATAAGTATAAAAACAGTCAATGTTTCCCACCTTTGGGTTAAATAAATATTACGAAGACAGAAAGAGATAACACAGCTGTATTGTTTCCCTTTGAAAGATGCAGTTCGGTGGTTAAACTAAGCTTTCAACAAAATTCATTTTCGCGCAATTAAATTGAAAGTAGTAAAGTCATGAAGTTGAAAAACTCACTTGGACAGTCTGTCAGATTAGTCATCAGTTCTAAAA